TGACATGACATAAAGACAGGGATGAGTGAAAAGCTTTCGCAGACAGATCCGTGTGAACTCCCACCTTTGCTGCAGTGATGTTCAGCTCTCTCAGCTGAGCTTTCAGATCGGAGTTCATCTCCAGCTCAAGCAGAGCCTGCAAAAAAGACACGTCACATCAGTATGGATAATCTGGATTTTTACAGTCTGCAGTTCACTGACTGTTGGCTGCAACAATCCCAATATTAATTTTATTCTGAGACTGACTGAAGCTGCATCTATACAGTTCATAATCCTACTAACATGTGCTAAGCAGAACCTGACTCCTACCTAAATACCATGATAGTTCAGTCAACATGTCCAGAGTACTGTGCATTACAAATTCAACCACATAGAAAAAAAATTTCTGTAGATCGATGCACTGCAGCAACACTCCAACATCAAATATAAAATCTGATATATAAAGAATATTCACATGGTTCTAATTTTCTATTATTATTATACAAGTCTCTGATGTAGCTGACTCCAATTTGATTTACTTAGTTTGATGAAATGAGGGCTCCACATGTGCACAGCAACATGGGCAAGACACAGGAGAAAAGCACTGACAGAAAGATTTGGCCACATTAAGAAATACAACATCAGTAGAACGGAAATAATTGTCCAACAGAAAGATGCTGACCAAAACAAGAGTGTGTTTGTGCATGCATACTTCACAGAAAACCATTTTTTCCTACATCATTCAAACTCTAGTATAAATATTGTACTACAGTAGGCTGCAGAACAGGTTAATATTATGTTGACATTTACAGTGATTTCTCTAAGACTCTATTTCTTTATGACCAGTAAAAAGTGTAGCCACACTCATGCTGCCCGACAAACCACAATAAAACACGGATTTGATTATGGAGAAAGTTTTCTTACCTGGGAGATCCCAGACTCAAACTCGTCTGGCTTTTCGCCATTAGGCTTGACTATTTTGGCGCTGGTACTGAACATGGCCTTTGTCTCTGCATGGGAAAATACATACATGTGGGTTAGAAACACAGGTAGTCACAAGTCTTTTGGCCGACTGCACTGATATGGATCCCAGAGGACCAGCATGACCCGCGCTCAGCTAAAGGCAAACCAAGTAGCCGAGGGACACCCGCCTGCCCTTAAGAACAGTCTTTACAAATAGATGTAAGACTTCGCTTGACTAAAAATTGTGCTGAAAACACAACTTCAGCCACAAAATAAAAGCCTGGACTCTCGGCTTCTACATACAAACCTCACAAGCTAGCGTCAGGTTAGATTGGAGTTAATGTTAACTGGCTAATGTAAGCTAGCCGGCTGTCATGATCCCTGCTGTGGTTTAACTGTAAAACTGGCACTGACTACCAGCACTAACTACTTCAACCTCACAAAAACGACCTACTACTGAACAAAGCTTCATATAATCAGTTTGTTCTTTCACTCGTCGCCTCCGGAGCGACTAAGTGAACACATGCACGGCCTGCTAACTACTCCCCATTACCAGGACCCATTCGCCGGAGCTTCCCTACTACGCTGTAATTTGGGATATAAAAATGCCATCCGTCTCTACAAACCACAAAATCTAAGGTATCAGACTCTTGAGATTCTTTGTTGCGCGTAAACTTTACGATTAAACAACATTTAAGCACATTTTAGAATGGAAATGCCGCTCCAGTGAAAAATAGCACGACTAACCTCTGTCAACGACGGCCAAGGAAGAGGCCGGAACATCGCGAGAGTTGCATTAATCCAATCGGAGCGACATATTTAACTATCGCGAGAATTTTAGGAGTCTACGTTCGTGGAAGGAAACATCGCGAGAGTTGTGTGGTAACCCAAACATGACTGAAGGTAACTGGCGTGTTACGACAGTTGTTAGCGTTACTTTTAGATTTCTTTTTCCTTTTTCTTTTTATTAGCGCTTTTCAGAAGAACCTTAATTACGTTATAAGAAGCCTTCAAGAGATGTTTTACTCTCGCCGTATTATTTAGGAATGTTTTTTCGACGTTTGTGTATTTTTTGGTTCGCAGTACACCAACAAAGTAGCTAGTATTTAGCTAATCTGAGCATCTTCCTGCTCCTGTGTATATAATGTGATGCTGAATTTGACCCACATATTTGGCTGTCACAGCAAAACACACGTTGACCAGTCAGATTTAAGGACATTTCACTGTGTCTTAGTTAATGTCACAATGTTAGTCACCTCCGTTTCTCGGCAGTTTTTGGTCAGACAGTGATGTTTAGACTGACTGGTCTTTTCAGAGTAGTACGCAGGAGCCTTTGCAGCGCCGCCGACGACATGCCCAAGGGGAAGTTTTTCTACGCTGTAAGGAAAGGAGTGAAACCAGGAGTCTACACTTCATGGTGAGGCTGTTAACACCTTCATGTCAGCACATTTACCAGTAAGAAAATCTCAGGGCATTTCCTGTTGAGAGATGAGTGACAGAGTACATGCCAAGCTCCGTTCAGATAACTTGTGGTTTATTGTCTCCTTGAATTTAATGAAACAGCACTCAAAGTAAAAGATTATTTTTTCTAATCATTATAATATACTCTTCAATTCTGCATGGAATCAATTTATTAGCACCTGCTTATTTCACTTATCTTTTATTTTTCGCTAATAAAATATATATACACTAATTTATGCAGTGCTAAAGTCTCTGACCAGTCACTGATTTAACCTCAAAAAAATATTGCTGTGTATCAAAGTTACACATTTGGACGTTTTTTTCCCCAGTATGAAAGTATCCCTTTGTGCTTTAAATGGCTTAGATGTAACTCTATACCTGCTTCCTCTAGAAACTGCAAATGTATAAAGTCTCTACTGCTATCTCCATACGTACCTCCTCACTCACAGTTGGAGCACACATGAGGCTCATTTTTCTATTTTGAGCCTTCTTGTTTCTTCTGTCCTCCATCCTTCTACCTGTGACCTGGGAATTGATCTTAGCATGCCATCCTAAGCGATGTCTCAATTCAAAATACACTCACCGTCCACTTTATTAGATACACCTGTCCGACCGCTCATCAACACAAATTTCTAATCAGCCAATCACATGGCAGCAACTCAATGCATTTAGGCATGTAGACATGGTCAGGACGATCTGCTGCAGTTCAAACTGAGCATCAGAATGGGGAGGAAAGGTGATTTAAGTGACTTTGAACGTGGCATGGTTGTTGGTGCCAGACGGGCAGGTCTGAGTAGTTCAGAACCTGCTGATCTACTGGGATTTTAACGCACAACCATCTCTGGGGTTTACAGAGAATGGTCCGAAAAAGAGAAAATATCCAGTGAGCGGCAGTTCTGTGGGCGCAAATGCCTTGTTGATGCCAGAGGTCAAGAGGAGAACGGCCCGACTGGTTCGAGCTGATAGAAAGGCAACAGTAACTCAAATAACCACTCGTTATAACCGAGGTTTGCAGAATAGCATCTCTGAACGCACAACACGTTGAATCTTGAGGCGGATGGGCTACAGCAGCAGAAGACCACACCAGGTGCCACTCCTGTAAGAACAGGAAACTGAGGCTACAATTCGCACAGGCTCACCAAAATTGGACAATAGAAGATTGGAAAAACGTTGCCTGGTCTGATGAGTCTCGATTTCTGCTGCGACATTCGGATGGTAGGGTCAGAATTTGGCGCCAACAACATGAAAGCATGGATCCATCCTGCCTTGTATCAACGGTTCAGGCTGGTGGTGGTATAATGGTGTGGAGGATATGTTCTGGGCACATTTTGGGCCCCTTAGTACCAACTGAGCATCGTGTCAACTCCACAGCCTCCCTGAGTATTGTTGCTGACCATGTCCATCCCTTTATGACCACAGTGTACCCATCTTCTGATGGCTACTTCCAGCAGGATAATGCGCCATGTCATAAAGCGATAATCATCTCAGACTGGTACTTGAACATGACAATGAGTTCACTGTACTCCAATGGCCTCCACAGTCACCAGATTTCAATCCAATAGAGCACCTTTGGGATGTGGTGGAACGGGAGATTGGCATCATGGATGTGCAGCCGACAAATTTGCAGCAACTGCGTGTTGCTATCATGTCAATATGGAGCAAAATCTCTGAGAGATGTTTCCAGCACCTTGTTGAATCTATGCCACGAAGGATTAAGGCAGTTCTGAAGGCAAAAGGGGGTCCAACCCGGTACTAGCAAGGTGTACCTAATAAAAGTGGCCGGTGAGTGTATACATCTGGAGGTTAGAGGAGACTTGCTGGAGGAGCTATGAGCGAAGATGCACAGGTGTTTCGTCATTGTGTCCTTTCTGCACCTGTAGCATACAGAAGAGGCAGAAAGCCCCTCCCTGTAAGTTGGCAGGATTGCTCCTTTAGGTTTGTTACATGTGACATCCTGGAAGTCTGAATCTGTGTTTTGGAGACTGTTATTGGTACACTTGGAGTCTATCCCAGCTGACTCAGGGTGAAGGCGGGAGACACCCTGGACAGGTCACCAGTCTATCACAGGGCTACACTTAGAGACAGACAACCAAGCACATTTTAGAATCACCAGTTAACCTTAGCACGTCTTTGGACTGTGGGAGGAAGCCGGAGAACCAGGAGAGAACCCACGCTGCACAGGGAGAACATGCAAACCCCACACAAAAAGATCCCAGGGCGCAAACCAGGGATCTTCTAGCTGTAAAGCCACAGTGCTAATCACCCGCCCTCATCAAAAGATCTTATCCACAAAATGTATTAAGATATATTCTGTAATGTTGTTCAGAAACTTTGAAAAATGCAGTCTTCATGTGAGGTTTGTTGCACTAACCTCAATTTTCTTTGAAAATATGTGAAGCAAACCAAAAAAGAATGATGCAGAATAAAGTCCTGTTCATCTCAGTATGCATGTCATGGGGATAGCAGCCAACATTTGACATGAAAAGTAGAGAATATACAGTTTTAGCTTTGGGAAAGTGTGCAGCATTCTAAACAAGACTTGCATTAGATTTCTGTTAAGATGTGCTGGACTCCATGATCATTATTTTCACATCCTTCCCCGACCATTTAGGGATGAATGTAAGAGCCAAGTGGAGAAATTTCCAGCTGCATCTTTCAAGAAGTTTGCATCGGAGCGAGATGCCTGGGCGTTTTTCAGAGGAGTCGAGCCTCCTTCAGCTCCAGAGGTCAAGAAAGGTATGCTGGTTCAGACTGATTTTATTCTGTGCACTGATAAAATACTGATTTCCAGAAGTTGTAAATGATCCGTCCTGGAGCAGACGCTGATCCGATCATCCTGCAATTTAAATGCCAGTTAGTTTGGATTTGAGCAGCGAATTAATTTAGTCACAGTTTAATTGAGAAGACACTAAATACAGCAATACATAGTCACATATCATACATGTGTAAATAAGACAGAAACTGCATAATGGCATCACAGACAATTTCTTTAAGTTGCATGGTTCTGTATTATTTGTCTTTTAGTCATTGAGAAGGTGGAATCGGACATCTCTCTGCTTCCAAAACGAGGCCCTGAGCCACTGGAGTACATCCCTCTTGGCAAGAAGAGATGTCTCTCAGAGGAGGAGCCAGAGCATCATTCTAAACGAGTCAAACAGTCGGAAAGCTCATCATCAGAAAGCACAGATGGATTCACATATATGGGTAAGACAGTCAAACTTCTGGTGAAATGGGTTTAGTGTCCTAATAAGTTTTAATGTTTGTTGTCAATTGTGTATTAAAACATAGACACTTTTGGTAGAATGTAGTTTGATAACCTGTAAACTAATAGCATTTTATGTACTGTTGTGTGTAAAATTTAAAATGGAGGGGGGAAAAAAGACGGCGCTAAAACTAAAAGTAGTGGCTGTTAGTGTCACTCAGTCCTGTTCTCGCTTTGACCAGGTGACGCTGTGGTTGTTTACACCGACGGCTGCTGCTCAGCCAACGGACGGAGCAAAGCCCGAGCTGGCATCGGCGTGTACTGGGGCCACAACCACCCACTGTGAGAAAACACATGCTCATAATGTTGAAGGGCACCTTTTTACACTGCTTTCAAAATGAATTCCAATATGGTTCAAGCTCCATCATGAAAAATGAAATCTATAAATGCAGCAATTGTCACATTTGTTGCTACTTGCTGTGCAGAAATGTCGCAGACCGGTTGCAGGGAAGACAGACCAACCAGCGCGCAGAGATACAGGTAAGCACATGTCAGCACGAGTGTGTCTGTCTTAAAGATCAAACTCGAAGCAATAAATGAACTTCAATAAAATTTAGTACACACATTTTCTGCTAGGTTCAAGTTTTGAGGTGTCATTTAACTGTTGTCGCTGCTTTCATTGGACCAGGCAGCCTGCAGGGCGCTGGAACAGGCCAAAGAAAAGAACATTAAGAAGTTGGTTCTCTACACTGACAGCAAATTTACGATCAATGGTGAGTCACATAAAACAGTTCAACATTTTCAAACAAGTCAACAAGCTGTGCTGATCCTCAACCACGTGTCGGGGTCGAGCTGAGACAACGAATTGTTGAGTTTGATGTCTGTGGCGTTTGCTGCAGGCGTGACCAGCTGGGTGAAAAACTGGAAGCTGAACGGCTGGAGGTTGAAATCTGGAGGTCAGGTCATCAACAAAGAAGACTTTGTCAAGCTGGACAGATTAAACACACAGCTGGAGGTGGTCTGGGTAAATATGAGTTCACTGTTGAGTTCACCTTGAACCCAGAAATAGTTCCACATCACGTACTTATAATTTTTAAAAACATGTTATTCACCATGTTAATTTCTCCTAAAGATCAGCAACGAACTTTACTACATGCCTTGTAGCTTTTGTATTACACTCTAAATGTGGTAAAGTCTATTTTAGCGTCATTTGATGAATAATTATGTGTATTTTATTTACTTAAGATCACATTATGACTGATCTCCATTTTCTGACCTAAAAAAGATAAAATCAGTGAAGCTGCAGCTTTAATCTTATGGTACCCGATGTCATGTATTATTTTATTCTTTAGAGAAAATGCAGAAGTAATTATTGAACTAACTGGACAGTGATTCTGTGATACGATCTGTTTTCCCCATGATGTGAGGTGGAGAATCAATCTGTTGGTCAGAAAAAAGGCCACAAGGGGGCATCAGAGCCTCATCAACTCCCAAAAGAAACTCCTGAGTAAACAAGGAATGACAGTCTGCAAACCTGTTGAAGAAAACACATACTTTCATGGGGAAAGTAAAATTGGTGTGATGCAGGAGTGCAGTTTAAAGACTTGCACAGTGGAGAAACGCAGTAGGTAAAAAAGCCAAATCCTTACAGTGAGTACATTTCTCTCTGATTTTGCCTGTGGGTCACTTGGATTTGGCTTTTTGCTGCCCAGTCAGCCTGAGGAAACATAGTGTGTGAGCTGTTTCCCGAATCAAATGTATGGTTTGGACTCTAAGATGTAAGATAATTTAGAAATACCTGTAAAATAGTGGTCCTTCACAATTTAGTATAGAACACACTGGCATAGTCAGTAATCATGTATTGTTCAACAAACGGTCTTAATCCTTGAAAAATTCAGGAGAGACCTTAAGCAAGAAGCCCATAAAGTGTTGACATTTTTCATATCAGATTTTTCCAGAATGATAGCCCGGCATTGCCAGACTAATCGTGCATATGCAAATTAGTCAAGTGACTAGTAACATAAACAACGACTGCAGACCAAAATGTTTCTGTACGCAATTGGAGAAACCAATCGGGGCAAGCAAATGTCTGGCACTCAAGTATAAAAGTGTAGACGCTCCTTTTTAGTGATGTGTCACAAGCTCTCAGCTCCGTCGGGTTCCCAGGCCACTAAAGGGATCAATTAATTATCACAAGTGTTTCCCAATAATTTTTTGTGGTTCAACTACCTTGAATAATTAAATATTTTAGCTCTACATTGAACCTCTAACAAACAGGATGAATTAATTATTAGATGGTAATTCTTATTTCCATGGAGTGATTTTCAAGTGTTGCAAGCATTGCTCACTCAGACTTGTTGGTGGTTTTGCTTCGCAGCGTCTCCTATTTTCCTTACACAGAATGTGACACAAGCTTGGATGGCACTCAAAAATGATGGGAAGGTAAACAATGAGTAGAGCGGTGTCTTCCTGAGGGAAACCAACTTGTTCTGCTTGTGTCATATTAGACGGATAGCAGATACAGAAAATATTTTTGTGTTTACAACAAAACAACAATTCAAGACTCACCAAAAAATTAAGACGGAGCACCATATCATTACGTTTGGGTTCAAATGTAGCCTTCAGCTTCCTCGAGCCAATCATATTTGTTTGATTTTCAGGCACTTTCAAAAGCTATATAAGTTTCCAAGCTGTATTTATGACTTGGATGTCTGCATGGCTGCTATTCACAAGTTTAAAACACCAGCTGCTTAGTCTCGAGGAGATGACTTTATAGGTCATAAGATTTTTATTTTCACTCTCACTCTTCCTCTCCTTCCTCCTCGCCCTCCAGATCCATATTCCAGGTCACGCTGGCTACAGAGGCAACGAGGAGGCCGACAGACTGTCAAGAGAAGGAGCAGCGAAGCCTCTACCGCAGCAGCACGAGGAAGAAGTCGAATAGCATTGAAGAGATCTGCTGCTGGACTTTTTGTTTATGCCATTTATCGGTTTATCAGCCAGTTGACTACTTTGATTTGAAGGTTTGTTTTTCCTCTCAGCAGCATTCGTGACTAAACCGAAACACTGAGAAAGGGGACTCCATGCGTTGGTCAACTTTACTGTCGAATGTTAATTTAAATTTGTGTTTCTGCTTTGAATAAAGTTTAAGTTTCAGCTGTAAACACCTGTTGGGCCCTGTGATGCCTGAAACTGACAGTCAGTGTGATGTTCCATCTAAAAATTCTTTTTATTTATCATTTTTTTGAGAATAGGAGAGAACAAAGTGAAGACAGAGGAGGAAAAGAGAAGAGTGATGGAAAGCATGGATAAGAGAAGATGAGGATGCAAGTTAGGAACACAGGTGGAGTGAGGTAGGGTGAATAAGAAATAGAAGGAGGGTAAACGAGAAGGTGGAGGAAAAGCAACTCCTGATTTGATCACTCAGACTAGTTGTAATGCAGTCAGCCGTCCAGCAGGAGGAGCTCCAGGTCGTTTTTCAAGCACAGACAAAGACTTCTGAGGACTTGGGGTTCATTTAAGGATCTCCTTGAATGCGGGCTCACATTTTGCTAAAAATCATTTAGGACATGTCATTGATCAGAGTATATGTTGTTGCAACATGTTTCCATATTGTCTTTGAGTAAGTTTATTATAGTAAAACTCAATTAAAAAAGAAGGCAGATCTGGGTCCGAATCAAGAACGTCTTGTCAGAAGGTTGAAGCTGAGACATGCCTGCTATTAGTTTGGCAAACAGATCCTAAGCCAGTGTTCACTATCAGATTAAACTATATTTCTCCTTTGTCTGAAGCTGTTCTAATGGGCTGCGTTTAGATATACTCCTTCCATTTATTCTTGTTTCCGTGATAGGAATGAAAATGTACATGGTTTTGTCTGAAGCATACATATACATACATACATAAACACACACACACACACACAGTCGTGACTCGATAATCCGACACTAAATGTAAAACCTTCTTTTATGTCGGATAGCGAGGTTGTCAGATTGTCAAGACGGAGGTCGAGATGCAAGGAGGGCTTGATGCTTGAAGGGTCATTTGTTGTTATTAGTCATTGTATTCATTGTAGTTGTTATAATAACTAGTAGGGCTGGTCCACATAGCACTTTCTGGGCTCAATTAATGATGAATACCAGAATGTTCGGCGCGGTCGAGGGTCCACTTTCACCTCGGAGGAGCGGTCCGACGGGGTGGAAGTGGCCGGAACGCACAGGCAGTACTTGGCTGCTGATGCCAGTCTACTTAGCGGTCACACTTCTGTTTCACATCATCCATGTTTACTTCCGTAAACACTCAGCACGCTCGCTGCGTGTGCCTTCGTTGTGTCCTCTTCTGCGCATGCGAGACACTTTTGGGTCATACGAAGTTCACACAGCAGATCACAGACAAGTCACATTTAATTGGAAATGTGCACGAACTCACAAAAAAATCGGATTTCACAAACAAATCTGAATTGAGCATTAAGTCCTGCAGTCTGAACGTCACCAATCCGTCTGATTGTTAAGTCAGATAATACACCGTTGTCCTTATTTGTGACATAAAATGCATATATATATATATATATACACACACACATATACATATGTATATATATAATATGATGGAAAATACAATTAAAACTGTTGCACATGAGTCAGTTCAAAGCAGCTTTCTTGACTAGTTTTGAAGTCATCACATACTGGCAAGAGTTAACAGGGTCACATTCAGTCCATGTTAGGTCAATAAACCACCGACACAGAGGAGTAGATGTGTGCAAAAAACATACATTCAGGCTAAGATTAAGGCAGCAGGTTCAGCAAAGGAAAACTTTGCATTGTAGCTTAACACTTTACTTGACAGAACAGGTGTATACATTGAGGTGCATGTGTGATGGCATCATACTTACTCCATAAAACAACAAAGCTGGACATTTAAACGAATACGAATCCCTGAGGCACAGATGAAGAGATTAGTGTCAAAATGTCCATAAGAAAGCAGCGTCTAGCTTACCTGTTTCCATAATCTAGTTGTTATGGTGCAATATTACCATCCTACTGAAGTTTATGCTCCTCTGTTCATCTGATGAATGAAAGTTCAAAGTTTGCTTCTTCTTCTTTTTTTTTAGCTCTGGTTTGCTCTTCCACATCTCCTTAGAAAAATATACAGTATGTCTTTTACCTGGTGTCCCCTCTGCTCCCCTTCTTTTGTTCTCGTCTCCCTCACTGCAGCGCGACAGCACTGTGCAGAAGTTATAAGCGCTAAAAGTAAAGAGAGGATGTTTTCAAAACTTAACAGAGTCATGTCAGTGTTTGGTTTGCCCAGTTTTTTCTAAGGTGCTTGGCAGGTAGGTAGTTTGGAGCATCTTGGAAAACTTGACAGTTTTTCTGCAGATTCAGTCTTTGAGTTCTGTTTCTTCATGTAATCTCGGACTGACTCCATGATGTTGAGACTCTGTGTTGTTCAGACCATCTGTTGCAGGACTCCTTGGTCTCCTTGCGGCTGAAAATAGCTCTCTGTGACTCAAGCTGTACATTTGGGCTTGCTGTCCTGCTGCAGGATGAATTTGAGACCCATCAGGGACCTCCTCGATGTTATTGCATGATAAATCAGAATCTAAACATCTAAAGTGCCTAAAACTTTTGCACACAATCCATTTGTGAGAAAAGCTTTGTTTCTGCTGATGGCAACAGAGAGAAAAAGAAATTAGACTCACCCCTCTTCCCTCACTCCTTCCCTCCTCCCCCTCCTCCTCCGTCCTCCTGCAACCGGTCGATTGGTCGGTGTCGATGTTGGAAACGGCAGGACGGAGGCTCGGGGTTCCTCGCGCTGACCCCGATCACTGCCTCGCGGCAAGCGTGGGGCGCCGCGACCCCGCCAGAGGCAGTCCAGTCTAAGAGAGAGCGCCTCTGAAGGTCAAAGGTCATCCCGCAGCAGCTTCACCTCCTCGCTGGCTGAGACTCGTTAGCACTCCTCCTCAACGCACACATGCCTCCTCAGCAGACTGAGCTCTGGCATCGGTCCGCCGCTGCCCTGCTGGAGGGGAGGAAGACCAAGCAAACTGCAAAGAAACTTAACAAACCAGACATTAGAAACATCCTGCGCACACTTCACTAAGAGGTTTTGTCAATTTTTAGACCAACAGTATCTAAAATAAACCAGAATGTTCTGCCGGGGTTGAAGAACTCTCTGACACCACAAACCGTCTGACACTGAGCGGGGGATGTTCGCTAAAGTGCTCACAGTGCTGATGGGGAAGAAAGAAAACTTCATGCAGACATTCAGCTGTTTGATAGAAAACAGGCCCAGACTACAGCTGCTGTTGTAGCCAAGTCACTTAAGTCCCATGAAGTTGGAGGCATCCGAGTTACGGTCATGTTTGGTCACTGAGGTCACGTCTTAGCTGCCGTGGTCCTGCCTGACGTCATGTCCACATTGATGAGTTTGTGTCAAAGTTGCTTAGGCCCCAGCTAAGTCACGAAGCTTGAGTTGAACTTACTGAGGTCATGTCCAAGTTGTTGAGTACATGTACATATCCATGTCACCAGAGTTCACTAAAGTCATGTCTGGAGTTGCTGAGGGCACGTCCGATTCACTAATGTCATGTTAGAGTTGCTGAGTTCATGGTAAAGTCTCGAGGCTCATATGCGAGTTGCTGAAGCCGTTTCCACGTAGCTGAGTTTATGTCTGGAGATGCTGACGTAATCTCTTCGCCACAGAGGTTGTGATGGACATGCAGAGGTCACGACTGATTCTCTGAGTTAATGTTCAAATTGTCGGGGTCACGTGTGCAGCTATAGCTTCGTTCATGGCGTTGCTCATAAGCCAAGCTTCTGCTTTCCACACCAACACTCGATAACACAATAAATAATTTCTTCATCTGGCGACTGGTGCTTCCCTTCTTATTTGGCATCAAGGAGAAGTATAGCTCAGCACGGCATCGATGGAGGGGGGTACAGAAAGAGTCACAATCAAAGATGGTGAGATGAACAAAGTGGCATCTGTTTCCATGACAGCTGTCTGCATCCAGCTCTGAAACCAGCTCCCCCACCTCCTCCATTAGCAGCACAGAAAAACCTAAATGCAGTGTAATTTTGAGGGGCTTGGAGAATTTTTAGGGGGGGTTAATTCAGTCGCCTACCACATAATTATCCAGTCTCTTTTTGCCACCTTCAGTGATAATGCACTGCACCCTCGAGCACCCACACCCCCTGCCCATTCTTGTAGCTGGCTGTGGAGTGTGTGTGGAGATAGTAAGATCCACATCTCAAATTTTACCATGGAAAAAAATAATTTAACGGTCATGCTGAAAGGTCTATGGAACATAAAAACCTTTGGACCTCTCCAAACCCTGTATTTTTTCCTTGTTTAGGGAGGCTCAAGTCTTAAGGATCCTGTGTATGTATATAACACTCATAATCATGCTGCCATTATAGGTTGTACTCAAAAGCCTTTACGTCCCCAGCAGATTTGTGGACCCGCAGTTTGGTTTGGAATTTGGTCGTCGGCATCTTGATCTTTTGAAACTGGGTGTCACAAACGAGGGTTGGATCCAACTAACACCCAGAGGACACTGCGCATGGCAACACGTAGCGACCTGTCAATCACAAGGTAGCCCCACCCTGCAGCACACCCTACTTTATCTCCTGTTTTTCCCTAAATGGGAATATAACTTGAATAATTTGTGTAATGCTGGATTCAAAAAGTCTCGGATCTAACAAATGAGACCATAAAGTCATGAGAAAAATATTTACTGAGGTGACAGATCAAGTAAGAAGTAGGATCATTTTCTCATAGACTTCTACACAATCTGACTTCTTTTTGCAACTAAAGGAGTCACCTCTATTGAAATTGCCCCACATTGCAGACCTGGCGGCTACATCAACCTTTTATATACTATTCATAGTTTTCTATTTGTGTAGATCAACCAAAAAAGGGGAAAAAAAACATCAGTCTATTTTAATTATCTTAGACTGAGTCTTTTATATCTACCGTCAGAGCCGAACTTCTTCCATGGAGTCTTCTATGTTCCAACACTATTTTTCTACAGAATCCCAGAACAGACAAATCAAATACTGGGTAAAGAGAGGGCTTTTCACATTTTAGGTAGCCGTGGTATCTTCTCCTACACATTTGGACGGGAAGGTTGATGTTAGGTTCATTGAGTTGGTTGTAGTCTGCAACC